CCTTTCACAATATCTGAATGCATTTCTCAAAAGGTTTTGCGCTTCGGTGTGGACGCCAATAACATGTGGGGGAAAATTATTATTAAAGCTATGGTTGTCACTGGAATTATTTCCATGCAATAATATGCTTTTTTGTTTGTTTGTTTCATTTAACGCCTTTTCCCAACAGTATTTCAGTTATATAGGCGGGTAGTTTCCTAACCATCGTTCCTGGAGAGTTACACAAGTACTAGACTACCTTCCTCCGTGCTAAACTACCAAAGCATATCTCAGGGATCGAACTTACTATATATGCACTATTGTGCAATTGTTTATGAAATGGTAAAAAAGGAAAAAAAATAAAAACGTTTCTTTATTTGATCGCAGAAACTTTCTAATTTGGACCTTTGTTCATTTAGATCGAGTGACCTTTTTTGTTGACATAGCATGTATATCAAAATTATAATCGGTATCAGTGCCTTTTTTGTATGCGAGTTGGTTCTACTTTTTATTTCACTTTCAAAGGCAAATGGAATGCAATTTGATATGCAATAGATTGAGTAATAGCGAGTTTCGTGTTTCAACCTTTTACTACATTGATGTTATAATTTACGTCATTATTCAAATGGCTCAATTTTGCAATTTCACAAAATGCTCCTTTTTAATCTATTGTTTTGCGGTAACATTGTCATCTTCAAAGCGATTCATGAATTTATCCAAACGACATATTTCCTTTGCAATATTTGTTTGTTCTGATACTAGTGCTGTGTAATTCAAAATTTCATTAATTAATCTTTATAACTAATCATGTTTTAATTGATTTTTGTTAATTTGTGAAAATTCCAAAGATTTGTATCAAACTACAATAAGTGCTTTGTTGTATGGGTATTTATATTCGCTGAAAAAATACTGCAGACTGTACAAGAGGATCGATTTGAAATTTCAATCAGAATTATGGTTATAATTGTCAAAACAATTATTTAAGTAATAATCTTTCATCATGTATATAAATAAAATTTTTGTTGTCTTTGAACATTGTTTTTGTTGTTGTTGTTTTTTGTTTTGTTATTTTTATTTAAGTATTTCAAGGACATAATGTAATGATGTAAAAAGTGGCTTAACATCTACTTGTATTCTTGTGCATTTTTTTATGAGAGTGTGGATTGCAATTAGAAAAAAAATGTTCATGTTTTTATTTCTCCCGATCTCGATCTCTCGTCTATACAGTGTAAAACATTACTATTTTTTACTCATCAAAAATTCATACATATATGACAAACAATACTGTGATTATTCCGCAAAACATAAGGGATTCTTTATCATATTTATTTATAGTGTTGTAAAATATTTTTTGTCAATATCATTGTGCTTTTGTGTGTTAATAAATAAATCTCCTACGTGAAAAAGCTTCTCAGTTGAAATTAATTGACGCTGATGAAACAAGATATGCTCCAGTTATTACAATGTCCTATTCAGATTCTGACATAACGCTCTCGCCATATCGATGAGCCTCATGAATCATTCGTTACACCTGACGGACTAAATTAAGTCAGGACAATCCTCTTATTATATTACAATTATCACCATTCTAGTTTATTCTTTTGTCTGAAAATTTGTTTAGAAAAAAAGTCATTGCAACATGATTTATGGCGGTGAACATATGAATTAAATATTTCTGATACAGATACTGCTGTAAATTTCTGCCCTTTCTTTCGATCAAAACACTGATCCAGAATATTGTTGATCACGTCTGAGCACACCTTTCACCCCCCCCACCCAGCACCGGATTTAATAGTTAAAATGTACAATTTTAGTTAGTAAACTGAATTGCAACGATAAATGTTCTCAAAATTCAATATACGTATATAGTATTTCAAAGCAAGTGTGAGACAACTCCAATTAAGAATGAAATGAAAACACATAATGAGTAATTATACTATATTACTATCATTATACTGTACATGAACAAAGGGCTGTATAAAAATATACAAGTATAAAATTTGCAGCCCAGAAAGAGAGCACGGACACCAATAATTAACAAGTAAATGAAATCTAAAGTTGTATTGAACAATCCGAAAGTAACAAAAGATTAAATTCAAAATATAGTTCATAACTTCATATAGTATGTTTATCTATTTGAACCTTACCTATCTAACTACAATCATGACAATTTTACTTATCTTTGTGATGCCGCACACTTATTTCACAAGTTTAGCCTATGGCAACACTTAATTTATAATCAAAGTGCTGAAGGCACTTGATGCAATAGACATAGAAAGATTTAACCAAAAGTTTTTACTTCACACTAACGTTTACTCGGTCAAAATCTATGTAAGATTCATGGGGTTCAGGGAGTAATCTCCATTTGGCATGACAGGACTGGAAATGATTATTCGAGATTGCATGTAGGTCTAGCTCAATATCTTTTATGCAACATTTCAGATCATTCACCCTCTCTGTTTTTCCAGAATAATTATTCTTGTTGGTTGTGGAAAATGATCAAACATTGAAAAACATTACAACGCCGTTCTCTTAATTTTCATTACTTGGCAAAGAATAGCACAATTTCAATTTATCTCCGAAGATATTTCTTAATTATCTTTTTCTTATATTTCTGTTATAAGTGCACCAGCTGATCTGGGTAAAATTTCAAATTTTACTTTTTTAGGGTTTTGTTCCTCAGTATAGTTCTTTTAACCAAGAATTTACCAAGCTCACAAAGGGCAATTCAATTTCAGAATGGACCTTAGATAGTGACCTCTCATTATGGTCAAGAAAACATGTAATAATATTAAAGTAAATACTTTCAGTAAATTCACAAAGGGCCATAATTCAGTGAAACCAACCTTAGAGTTAAGGGTTTAAAACAAATTTTGTTTTGGAAAGTGGCATTTAATTTGATCCCGTAGACATTTATTTAGTTTCTAATTACTACCTTCAGTTCACATGATCATTAATCTTCAATGCGATCACATAAAAAATCAAGATTACTTGATTCAAAATTGTCCATACTTCTGCCAAAAACCATGCTAGAGTTATTGGCTTTGTATCTCTTTTTATGGAGGATCTCAAAAATATTTGTAAAGTTAAAAACAATATTTTAGTTGTTCATGAAATTTGATGCCTTACAAGCTGAACGTTGCCCCAAAATCTTTAACCAAAGTGGTATGCCAACGCGGACATTGACACCAAGATGAGAAGGATATCACCACAATTCTTCGGATAGCTAAAACGTTCATCAGGCTCCACATTTGTTTTAAGAACAAGAGACATAAAACCTTGCAATATTCTAAATTTTATTTGTTCCAGTTTTCTTCACAAATGATTTTTTTTTAAGAAACTGATATTTTCCTCAAGAATCAGGGGCAATTAAAATAGAAGTGGTGGAACTGTGCAGGCATATTAGGGTAAGAATTGTTAAGGGGGAGAGAATACCATTTGAATAGTCTCACCATCTTATTGGTAAGACACATTATCAAGGGCCGGAGCTAAAAACCTTTGTCTGGGGTTAGGAGGGGCCTTCTGTTTGAAATGACAAAACTTCACCTTATAATGAAGGGGTCTGGGACGTCCAGCAGAAAAAATGAAATCTAAGAGTTAACTTGTGGCTTCTTGTGCATTTTAGGTGCACATTTTGAAATCGAAGTGTCTGCATGTTCACAAAAATACCTATTATTTTTCAAAAGTGGAAGACTAAGACACTTAATGTTAAAGTGGCATTCTTCATTCTCAGGTATAAAGTGACGGACAGGTGAAGTCAAAATTAGTTAACATTTTTTCTACAATTCCTTTCAAATATATATAATTTAATTCGCAATAACGGATAAATAACTCACATAGCCCAATTATCAGTCTGAAAATACCTTTTACGTAAGATTTATATTTTGTTATATATTCAAGGCAGAGTTATAAATTATCCTGGACATTTTCAAAATCAACTGTTGCTTAATCGCCATTATAACAGTCGAACTTTTGAAATATATATTTATTAGTCAATTCTATGGTGGCTGCTTTGTGCCATTCGTGTTTTCGCCCCGCGACCCCACCAAGCGAAAAGTCGAGAATCAACAAGCTAAAATGGCGGGGGCGCGGGGCGAAAAGTCGCTTATAAGCGGTGGCGCGGGGCGAAGTTTGATAAATAAAACTTCGCCCCATGGGGGCGCGGAGCGTCCTCGCTAATAAGCGTGTTTTCGCTCCGCGCTCCGCCATTTTTACTTGCTATTTCTCGCCTTTCGCTTAATCATTTATCTTGGCAGCAACACCTTGTTTTTCTTCCTGGTGCGGATAATGGTCTCATTTGCCTTCCGTGCATTAAAATAGTATCATCACAAAATTCAACTTCATACATTCTTTGTATCATTTGAACCGCCTCCGTGGTCGAGGGGTTAGAGTCGATGACTTCTAATCCAGTTACCTCTCTTGCGTGGGTTCGATCTCCGGGAGATGCTTTGGTAGTTTAGCACGGAGGAAGGTAGTCTAGTACTGGTGTAACTCTCCAGGAACGATGGTTAGGAAACTACCCGCCTATATAACTGAAAAACTGTTGGCAAAAGGCGTAAAATGAAACAAAGAAAGAAAGAAACAAACAAACCTTTGTATCATTTAGTGAGTAACTGAATTCAAAATGTACAGGTCACCTTGTGGTAGATAACAACATTTAATAACATGAATGGTGACATGTACGGGGTCCGTTCTCTCAGTGCCGGAACGGGAAGAAGGAACTTCATTTAGCCAAGAATACATACGACATAAAACTGTTCTTCGGTGATAATTTGGACTTAACGATACTTGGAAAGTAATCAAGAAAAGGTTAATATGCATTGTAATCTGGTATCAGAAGTGTTAACAAAAATATATAGTTTAATTCTAATTAATGTACATGTACTGCCGTTGTGGCACAGGTAGTAACTAAAATGGCTTTCACTTGTAGTCTCTGTTATGCTGCAATGATGTTGTTGATTTTCTCTTCTCTTTGCCCCTTACAGTTATAGGTACCTTTCTGGGATTTTTTATTTGAGAAAGCTAACAAGCTAACTTCGGGAACGTCAGTGGTTCTACTCAGATGCCCGTTGAATAATTCATGAATAAATAATATCATTATTGCGACGGTTCTTATTGATTTTTGTTATGTAAAATAGCAAGTTTTCATCGTAGCACAGTTGTCCTCGAGTAGCAACTTGCGTACTACAGAATGTTTAGAAATTAATTTTACTTTTAATTTTCAACACTTGTTTTATTGATTAAGCCTGATTGATACAGAACAATTGAAAAAAAAAACATTTAACCAAACTAAAAGGACGAAAGATCGTGTTCAATAATTTTAGATAGTCGGACACTTTTGAGATAATAACGGAAGACGCAGCAATGGAAATTAAAAAGGGGATTATCATTCTTATGTATGCAGAAGTTCTATCTTCAAATGTTTTTGCCATCGAAAGACATATTCAGTACAGACGTGGACATGGTCAAGACAGTACCAATGATATTAAGTGTGGTGCACAAAAAGTCGAAAATAAATACGCGGCTGTAAAAATACCACTTGACGATGAAAGTGAAATTTGCCATGGTTTGGAACGTGACTGGTTACTTGATAAACGTTATGACGACGGTTATCATTACATAGAGAAGAAGAAAGTGGTGGAGATATTCAAACCTCCAATTCAGGTAATCTGTAGCAATATATTTCAGCCGCGTCACGACAAAACCAACATAATGGGTTTTCGACCAGCATGGATCCAGACCAGCCTGCGCAGTCTGATCAGGATCCATGCTGTTCGCTTACCAACTCTGTTACAAATAGAGAAACTGATAGCGAACAGCATGGATCCTGATCAGCCTGCGCGGATGCGCATGCTGGTCTGGATCCATGCTGGTCGCAAACCCATTATGTTGGTTTTGTCATGACGCGGCTCATTTCATTATAATAATGTTCCGATTTGTTGGCGACGCCGGTGAGCGGCGTCGTCTCTTATGGAATGCTTTTTATTTTGACCTGTGGAAGGAGCTGTTATTATTAGCAGTTAATGTCATGTTGTGTTAATAAGTTTTATTTTGATTCGTAAAAATCAAGTAAACAAATATGTTGTTATGTTTGTGTTTAAAAAATTTATGTAAAAAGCATGTGGATTGTGATATTATTTTCACGAAATTGCAGGCTCAGTTTAACAGCTTGTCCCTTAATTAGTATTATTGACAATACTAAAACCCGGATTTCGAATATCGTTGTGGTCTACATTGATGCCGTATCCATTCATTAATTTATATATTTTCAAAATTTTCCTTCAAGAATAACTTTTACCTGCAAATGAGTATGAGGATAGATAATGAACTGTTGTAAACGATTATCCTATTGATTTTATCCGTATAACGTTTATCTGTTGCACAAAATGGTTGTTTTTACAAAGTGTACCAGTATCCGCATGTTGAAAGCTATCCGATTTTCTGAAATTACTGCTGTCACATGGCCATCTATTTTTTATGAACACTTTACCATTAATTTGCATGGCTTAATAAAACTGAGCCTGCAACATTTCATAATTTTGCTGTTTAGGATGTGCGTTTGGGTTTCAGGTTTTCTCTATTTTAAGGAGAAGTAACTCATGTTTACTAAATTATTTGAGTTACTTATATCGAAATTTCGAGTTAGTAACTCGAAATTTCGACTTACTAACCCGAAATTTCGACTTAGTAACTCGAAATTTCGACATACTAACTCGAAATTTCGAGTTACTTATCTCGAAATTTCGACTTAGTAACTCGAAATTTCGACTTATTAACATTTCAAGAATGGCCAAAGTTATTAGTTAGATGGTATAAGATATAGTAGGGACTGCTGTTGAACGATGGAGATGGAGAAACGGGTGCCTGGACAAAAACTATTGAAATTTAACTTAAACTTAGTAATGGCATGTACACACCCGACCTAAAAAATACAAGGCTTCCTTTAATTTGTACGTTCAGGCGTTCTTCAGACCTTGTATTGTATCCCACCTGTTCGAACATATCTTTTCACTAATCATATTCTTCTCATCCCTGTAAAAAACGATCCTATACTTCACGTGTGGGACATCTGAGGAAAGTATCGCGGCGTGGCCAAAATAGGGCGTGCTGAGGCCTTTGTCAAAATTGTTGGACTGACTATATTTCTTGTAAAATCGGATGCTTTTATATTATTCCCAACATATATATAACAACAAGTATCACTTTTATCAACTTTTATCAGTATTAGTAAATAATGAATAATGTTACAAAAACATTATTAGTATAAAGAAACGTGACAGACTAACTGGCGTATACACGCCATTTAAAACTTATTTAACACATGATATTGCACAGTTAACAAAAAGAAACACCCGGTTAACACGGAAATGTGGAAAGTGTGATTTTACAACCCCCCTCCACAAAAAAGCGAAGGATATGTTCAGTATCTGTGGACAATTTGACACTATAAAATTGTTCTGTTAAATAAATGTTAAAGGTGCTCTGTCAATGTGCAACAGCTACACACGAAAGAAAGTATCTTGAATTCAATCCTTGCTTTCACCGACAACCAATGAAAGTCGTTCAATGTAAGTCGAAATTTCGAGTTACTAAGTCGAAATTTCGAGTTACTAAGTCGAAATTTCGGGTTAGTAAATCGAAATTTCGAGTTACTAACTCGAAATTTCGAGATAAGTAACTCGAAATTTCGAGTTAGTAAGTCGAAATTTCGAGTTAGTAAGTCGAAATTTCGAGTTAGTAACTCGAATTTTCGAGTAAGTAAGTCGAAATTTCGAGTTAATAAGTCGAAATTTCGAGTTAGTAACTCGAAATTTCGAGATAAGTAAGTCGAAATTTCGAGTTAGTAAGTCGAAATTTCGAGTTAGTAACTCGAAATTTCGAGTTAATAAAAAACATACACGTGGCACTAATGCTCTTCCGTAGGTTTTTTATCAATCTGGTCAAATTTTTTCTTCCCATGTCCGATACTCGTGCCTGTGATTATATGCTGATGACTCGGGTATCCTTGTATCTGGTAAAATAAATCTGAATAATTTTTTTCTTATGGCATGAGTCTTATAAGATTGGTTAATTAACTATAAATTGTCTTTGCATCTTGGCAAGACAGAGTCTGTTCTTTTTGGTTTAAGTTTCAACTTAAACTGGGCCTAGCCTCCAGGTCATATGTAATGGTACTGCTATAAAGTATATTTTGTTAAGTATTTAGGTGCAAACCTGGATCAAATTCTTTTGGCGTTGCCCTTTGATGCTTTGCATCAATTCTTTTCTTGTTTCATTAATTGAAAGCATGGCAAGGTAAAGCATAATTAGTATCTTTATTGATCAGTAAAAGTCATTAAGGTGATCATCCTTCCCTGGGAGTATTGTCAACGACTGTCATGTTTATCATGATTTTACATTACCTGCACATCCCCTCTTAAAGTGTCTTTTTTGTACAAACTGACACATAACTGACAAATGTATTATTGAATTGATTTTCAATGCTTATTTATTTTTTCATGCATATTGTTTTCTTTATTATGATTGGTCAACAAAATAAAAACAACATTTTTACAAATAGTGAAAATTCAAACGTCATTTGAATCACATACAAAATATTTAGAATCATGTATTTCTTGATTTTTTTCCGTTTCATCTTTGAAACGATATTTCATTGTTCATAATGCATCAAATTATTATTAAGAAAATGTGGTGGTATACCTTTCTTGTTGATATCATTTGAGCCACGACACGTCACAACAAAACCAACATAATAGAAAACATAATCAGTAAGTCAGTCAAGTTTAGAAACTTTAAAAATATGGACGAGTCATCTGTTAGAAAAGAGTTCATTGAAATTACAACAGATCAGAGTGATATTAATCTATACGTGAATGAGTTTGAAAATAAAATAAAGAACGTTCTGGACACTCATGCACCTGAAAAAAAAGATAACAAAAGTAATTAGAGCTCCTAAACCATGGTTCACTCCCGAAATTCTCACCCTTAAAACATCGACTCGGAAAGCTGAAAAAATATGGAGAAAATATCGTCAACCACAACAATATGAATCATTCAAAAAGTCTCGGAACCAGTACAATGATGAACTCGAAAAAGAGAAAACAAAAGTTATAAGTGAAAAAGTAACTAATACAAAGGGTGATTCCAAGAAGCTGTACCAGTTAGTGTCTGAGTTAACAGGAACTAAATCAGAAAACCCAATGCCACCTGGGTACAGTGATAGTGAGCTCTCCGAACACTTTGCCTCATTTTTCATGAATAAAATAGAGAAAATACGTGATGACCTGAAACCATTTGATAAATTCGAGCCAAATACTAGAAACGTTCCATCTCTTCTTACCTTTGATGAATTTTCAAATGATAATGTTAAAGAGCTGATAAATGAACTACAGACAAAATCTTGTGAATTGGACATATTACCGACAGCAATATTAAAACTATTCCTTGGAGAACTACTCCCAATTATAACAAAACTGGTAAACTTATCACTACAGCAAGGAATATTTCCAAATAAATGGAAAGAGGCTATCGTGAGACCACTTTTGAAGAAAATTGGACTTGAACTTGTATTCTCAAATTATAGACCTGTGAGTAATCTATCGTTTTTATTAAAACTGATTGAAAAAGCAGCTCTGAAAATACTAAATAAACATGCTGATCAGTACTACCTACAAACCAATCCGCCTACAGAAAATACCACTCCTGTGAATCTGCTCTACTGCGATTAGTTAATGATCTGTTGGCAGCCATGGAAAAACAAGAAGTTACAGCGCTAATCGCGATTGATCTCAGTGCCGCGTTCGACACTGTGGATCATGATATACTCGTCGACGTGCTACAGAAGCAGTACGGCGTGAGCGGTTCAGTGCTCAGCTAACTTGATTCATACCTTCGACCGAGGGGCTGTCGCGTGTGTGTCAACTCGGCGGTCTCAGCTCCAAGGCAACTAGAGTGCAGTGTCCCCCAGGGTAGTTGTTTAGGGCCTTGGCTCTACCTAACGTATGCGGGAACCTTGTTTGACGTAATTCCATCTGGATTATCGGTGTATGGATTCGCTGATGACCATACTGCAACCAAACGTTTTAAACCGACTGAAGAAAATAGTGAAATTTCTGCAATTGCTGAATTAGAAAATGGTGTGATTGATATCAACAACTGGATGAACGCTAATAAACTCAAGATGAACTCATCGAAAACAGAATTCATAACATTTGGAAGTTCTCAACAACTCGAAAAGTGTCACCTAAAATCCATTTGTATTAATGGAGATAAGATCAACTCCGAGGAGTCCATTAGATATTTAGGCGCATTTCTAGACCAAACACTAAATTTCAAGGAACATGTCAAACGAAAGTGCCGTACTGCAATGTTAAACTATCTTAGAATAAAACGCATTCGAAAATACCTCACCAAAGAAGCAGCTGAAATACTAGTTATAGCACTCGTAATGTCACACTTGGATTATTGCAATGTCATTCTTTATGGTGTATCCGATTTTGAATTGAAAAAAATGCAACGTATTCAAAACATGTGCGCTTAGTTAGTTCTGCAACGAAAGAAATTTGACAGTTCAAGGCAAGCATTGTTCGACCTTCACTGGCTGCCCATCAAATCTAGAATCGAATATAAAATTTTGACTTTTGTATACAATTGTTCAATCGGTCATGCTCCAAAATATCTTTCTGAACTCCTAACCAAACAAGTAAAAAATACCCGACTACGTTCAGCTAAAACCTCTGAGAACTGCTACGTTATTCCATTCAATAAAAGAAAAACATTTAGTGACAGAAGTTTCGGAACTATTGGTCCAAAATTGTGGAATCCGCTGCCATTAGAGTTGAAACAATCTAAGAATATTGATGTATTTAAGAGAAATCTTAAAACACATTTTTTCAGAAAGTTTGAATCACTATTTTAAAATCTGAAATGAGATAAACATGAGTAACGTATAACTGATGACTGACAGTGTGATGAATGAATGTTTTATTTTTTTAATCTATTTGTAATCAAGTTACATGTATGTAAATAATCTTATCTCATGCTACATGTATATCAATCAGTTTTATGCAATTGTTTTTTGCAATTTTTTAAAAATATGTTAATTGGAATTGCATGTAAAAGCTTTTATTTCATTTGATGTTGATCTTCATATTCTTATGTATTCACAGTTTTATTCTTGTTGTTTATATGTACTGTACAACGCCGTTGAATATTGTTAAATAGAAACAGGCGTTTAATTAAATAAAAAGTTTCAAGTTTTTCAAGTTTCAAGTTTGCGACCAGCATGGATCCAGACCAGCCTGCGCATCCGCGCAGTCTGATCAGGATCCATGCTGTTCGCTATCAGTTTCTCTACTTGTAATAGGGTTTGTAAGCGAACAGCATGGATCCTGATCAGACTGCGCGGATGTTGGTTTTGTCATGACGCGGCTCATTTTGTCTGCTTTTCAGGCTTTAAAGACTTTTTAAATAATAGGTTATACCGATTACACGACGTAATAAACTGTTTGATTGAAAACAACTTTTGACCTGTATTAATCATTGACTATCAATATGTAGTCTTAATAAGTCCCCTAACGGTTTAACTGAGGCGAACTCAAGTTAACGCTTCGTCCGTCCGTCCGTCCGTCCGTCCATTCATCTGTCTACCGGCTGAAGATTCTTTTTTGTGTTATTGTTGTCTTTTTGTATTTTAAAGAACCATGAAATTTAATTTCATTGGTGAAAAAAGTAAATTATATACATCACAATGTGTTTCGGTTTTCGTTGATACATTAACAAATATATATATATATATAAACTTCATCTCGCAAAGAACTTTTAGCAAAAATTAATGATGTTATTGCAATGTTTAAGTTTATTTCGTGTGGTTGTTTTTATTAATGCTCTTACTTAATATACTGTAAATATGTTTATAGAGTTTTAAGGATGACCTTATAATATTTTACTACTTTGATGGTTCAGAAGTATATCACGTGAAACAACGAAAAGCAGACTGAACAAAATAGCAAAAGCTTGCTTCTAAAACTTTTTCACATGAGTACACTTATTTGAGCCGCGCCATGACAAAAAACCAAAAGAGTTCGTTTGTGACCAGCATGGATTTAGACCCGCCTGCGCATCAAGTCTGACCAGGATCTACGCTGTTCGCTTACAAACCCTATTACAAATAGATAAACTGATAGCAAACAGCATGTATCCTGATACGACTGGATTCCCAGGCTGGTCTGGATCCATGTTGGCCGCAAATGCACTATGTTGGTTTTCTCATGGCGCGGCTCTTTTTATTATTACCGTTTCAGTTTGTTTGTGTGTTAGTTAGTTTTTTTTAGATAATCATTAATTCTGATGGCAGTTTTTGATACTCTTTTTTCAGGTTAATTACAGTTTCTATTGGTCACTTCCATCTTTGTTCGACGTTGGAGCCAACTTACAAATCTACTTGACCAGCCCAGCTACCTGGTCACGGTTTGTAGTTCATTTAATATACACTACATGAAGAAGTTTTCATTTTACAATCTTTCATTTTCTTATCGTATTGACTTTAAAATTGAAAACATATTATGACAACATATATTTTTGAAATAATTGATTCGATATTTATAGAGCAATTTGATACTTTTGCCTTCTTTACAACTTTGCTTATATGGATTTAAATGTGTGATACCAAAAATTGTTGTTGAATTACAGCTTGAGTATTAACCTTCTTGACACCGTGAAGGACGATCTGAAAGAATCGGAGTTATATCCTAAAATGTATCATCTTTACTTTCGGAGCGACTCTGATAAGGCCGGTGTAGATACATACACACCAGATGGAGGTTGGAAGCACATTGGTTTAACTACTCAGCCATGTCCAGTGAAATATGGAAAAACTTACAATATAACGTTAGAATCCCACTCAGGCTTCATCCGGGTATGTAATTTTGAGAGCATTGAGTATAACATGCAAAAAAAACTCTGAAGTTCCTAACCAGGAAATTGGTAAAATTTGTCAAATAATAATAATGAAGGCCTTGACGGTTTTTTTTATATCCCGTCTAAGGTATGACACCCCCCCTTTCTAATGGGTACTATCAGGAACTGTAGAATTGATGAAATAGGCCATTGTTATGCCTTAAATGACACATGTATGCAAATTTTATGCAAAAATATTACCCTACCCGTCCCATTTTATACACTTGTTTGACCGTTTTCCTACTCAGAGAATCTTATTTAAATATACCTAATATTTACCAAAGCGAGGGACTGTTTCCAAGTTTGCCTAAATTTTCTTAATGGTAACCCTAATGGTTAATCTTGTCAAATATTAAACACTTTTACCATGTACTTTTGATTTTATTAATCTTTTAAAATTTTCAGGTACCATTTTTGTTATTATAATTGGTATTTTCAGCCAATAAATACCTAAAATAATATTATATTTCAAGTTAAACTTTTTTTCTTTCCAAGAGGGATGTGAGACATACTTGAAAATATAAAAAGCAAAAAAGAAAAAATGTTGACTCTTCTGGCAGTTGACAGTAATTCTAGCCTATCTAAAAACTCTTCAAAGCGGAGGTAGTATACCTTAAAATCAACATTTTCAATGCACTGAGTACGTCAATGAGGAGACATTTTTTTGTATTAAAAGTAGCGTAATGTATGTAATTTTACGTAATACTAAAAATTTTGTTGTTGTTGCTTTTTGTTGTTGTTTTTTTTTATTTGTTTTGTTTTCCAATGTTGTAAAAGCTTTCAAGAGCGGCATTGAAAATCGTGGTTATTTATTTCTAAACATACAATAATGTAAAAAAATTATTCAAAATTAATAGCGCATTCAACATAGTTATTTTGGCCAACTGCTGGCAATGTTTTGTGGTTTGTGTGAATAATTCATGATCAGCGTTTGTTTTATTCATCCATCATTCCGTAAAATGCAAATAAATCTACAAATAAATCATATAAAACACATAATTTACACCATAATAACGATTACTATTATAAATCAATGCATTGTTAACAATTTGCTTTTAATTTTCCAGTAATATTTTTTTCAACAAACGTTCAATATATCAAATCCGTTAATAACGGTTTCAGTTGACAGTTTCAGCTTCAGTTTATTGGCATATCGGCATATACAATATTAAGAGGATATTTTTTCGTTTGAGTGAAATATGGAATATATTTTCACGAAACATGATGAAAATATGAGGCATTTTATCATGTTGAGTGAAAATATATACCATATTTCACGAAAAACGAAAAAATAACCTTTTTATTTAATTTCATTATCAAAGAAAAATGGTTATGATACCCCTTGCCTGCTACGAAACTGCAATTATACAGCGCGCAGTAATATAAGTATCGTCTTGTTTTGCACGCGATATTTAGCGCTAGATTGTGACGTCACGTAAACAACTTTTTAAACGTCTGTACAGCGTTAATGACTGAATTAAAGATATTGGTGTTCGGATTTATTTTCTTAGTTAGACCATTTTCTATCATTCTAGATAGTTTTCAAAACAAAATTCAACAAAAAAGATGTTTGTATTTATCAGATTTTTCAAACAAAATGGCGAAAGAAGTCCCTTAAAATAAATATGAGTTTTGACTCCGCCCACTTTCATATTTAAATTTCATATTTATTTTTAAAAAATATGAAATATATTTGACTGATATAGCACCATATTTCATAGGTAAAATTAAATAAACCTTAATAATAATAATACAACATAAACAAAGAATAGCCAAGAGGTAACAATTTACATTAAAAAAATTTACAAATTGACCAAAACCAGAAAATTAGAATAAAAGAAGTTTCAAAAGCAGCAATATTTGTAAGTTTTTCCTTTCTCAGCTTCATAGCATAACATACAAATTTGGCAGTATTTTTTAGATCGGCTCTCATTTCTGGTTAATATGTTAATACATGGCAATGAATACACTAATTTTTTGACGAATATATCTAAAATGGACAGCGTAACAAGAAATGATATTCAGATTCAACAACAAAGTTAACATAATCGTTTGTCTCCATCAGTACTAGAAAATCTTACACATTCCATTTAAAGATATACATGTACTATGCTCAAATTTGACATTTAAAGTAGAACACGACACTTTGCGAACTTTCGAGTAACGTCTTGATAATTGGGATGCAAAAAATTGACCATATTTCTGATTGGATTTCGTTGATTTTATTTCAATAGTTTCAGCCAATTTTTGTACACATGACGTCAAAGTTGACCACCAAAGCCCGTTTTTGAACATGACGTCGTTGCGTATCCTTGGCAACTGTTACTGGTATTTCAACGCCATTGGCGGACAAAATATCTTAAATCCTACAGCATTCGACGAAAATTGTTTTTTCCTTTAGGCAGATATAAAATTTATTGTTTTACGCCGAAAATTGTTATGCATGGTTTGTCTTAATATGAAGTAGATATGTTACGTTTAAACCGCTACACACTATAGGTTGACACAATATGAATATTTAGAGTCATTTATGAAACTGGCAGTGTTTTAAGAAAAATCCAACTTTACTTTACCTGTAATAAGGAACACAGCTTCCTACATAGTATTCAAATTTGACATTTTCAGTAAGAATTTCACTGATACTGATAGATTAAAATATTTTACTCACAGATGAGCAAAGTATATCAGTAAAGACGTCAAAGTGCAAAATACAAATATATTTGAACGAATGTATGTTGTTCCTGGAATTTTATTTCTATCATTTTATAGTTTTGTTATTTCAGCATGGTGGTAGCGATTAAACTATAAGCACCGAGAAGACCTTCGCAAACATATATAGTTATGTCTTAAGTAGGAACATGTAGATAGGTTTATAAATAAACAAGTTTATGCATATTTATCATTTTGTTAGTATTTAAGTATAAAAACCATTTAGTTCAGTGTTTATTATATTACTTTATTATATTTTCATTTCAGACAAGGATAGATGGTCAGCCATACTTCGATCTTCCACATGTCACCCCACCGAGGAATGCTGCAACTCTGGCAATAAATACCGCTGTACCCCCACCTCTGCTGGTTCATAATATTTCTATGAATGGTCGTGTTTAAAAAAAAACAACTTTACATCGTTTTCCTATATATTCGATATATTTTTGCAACATCCATTTGAAGTTTTTAATCCCCTTCCGCATGGCGGAAAGGGGATTCTAGAAATAGCCTCCGTCTGTCAGTCCGTCCGTCCGTCCGTCTGTCCGTCCGTCCGTAACACTTTCGTGTCCGCTCCATAACTTTTAAACCACTTAAATTTTTTTGAAATAAATTGGCACAAGTAATCACCATAATGAGACGATATGTAGAGCGCAATAATTGGGTTGCTACCCCAAAGGTCAATGTCACCCTTAAAGGTCAAATGTTAAAAGCTCTTCATTTCATAATAAACGTCTACATTTCGTGTCCGCTCAATAACTTTTAAACTACTGAATTTTTCTTTTAAATACTTTGGCACAATTTATCACCATAATGAGACAATGTGCAAAGCGCAATAAATTGGTTGCTACCCCCAAGGTCACACTTAGAGGTCAAATGTTAAAAACTCTTCATTTCATAATAAAAAGTTTAACCTTTACTTTAAATATCATCTCCTCATAAACCGCTTAGCCAAATTTATCCAAACTTCACAGGAATGTTTTTGGTAGTCAACTTTAAAAATTGTTCAAAGAATTTAATTCCAAGCAGAACTCTGATTGCCATGGCAACCGAAAGAAAAAAACTTAAAATATCTTCTTTAAGAAAACCGAAAGAGATAGAGCTTTAATATTTGGCATGATACATCATCTAGTCAGTGGCAACCAAGTTTGTTCAAATAAAAGCCCTTGGGTAAAAATTGGCCCCGCCCCAGGGGATCATTGATTTTCCCTTTATGTGTATAGTAAAAACTTAAAAAATCTTCTTTTAAAAGCCCCAAAGAGCTAGAGATAAGATATTTAACATAAAACATCTTCTAATGGGTGTCTACCAAGTTTGTTAAAAAAGGGCCCTTGGGTTAAAATTGGCCCCACCCCAGGGGTCATTGATTTTCCTTAAATGTGTACAGTAAAAACTTTAAAAAAATCTTTTAAAAACCCCAAAAGGCTAGAGTTTAGATACTAAGCATGAAATATCTTCTAGTGAGTGTCTACCAAGTTTGTTCAAATAAAAGCCCTGGGGTTAAAATTGGCCCCTCCGGGGGGGGGGGGGTCATTATTTTTCCCTATATGTATATAGTCAAAACTTAAAAAATCTTCTTATAAAAACCCCAAAGAGTTACAGCTTACTTAGATATTTATCATGAAACATCTTCTTATTGGTGTCTACCAAATTTGTTCAAATAAAAGCCCCTGGTTTAAAATTGGCCTTTGCCCAGGGGCCTATATACACGTGAGCGACATCAGGACCATCATGGCCCTCTTGTTAAGATAACTTGGCAGAAATGATCACCATTATGACACCATTGGCAGAGCAAAATAATCAAGTCACAACTCTGAAGGTCAGGGTCACACTCAAAGGTCCAATGTAAAAAACATCTATTTTTCATGTCCGCTCTTTAACTTATTGACAAATCAAAGGTTTTAAAATTACTTGGCACAAATGATCGTCATCATGACACAATCTGCAGAGTTCAACATCCAAGTTGCTTACCCCCAAGGTCAAGGTTATATGTTCTCCATAACTTTTGTTTACTTTATGGAAGATTTCAAATACCATGGCACAATAAATCACCATCATGAGACTTTGTGCTTATGATATACATGGCATAACATCAAGGTCGTGGCTGAAAAAGGTTCACTGCGGATGGGGATTTAGCTGTCCTTCAGACTGCATTGTCATTGTTGTTTTTTCTTCTCGTACTATTTCATTTATTTCAAAGTAATTTTGTAAATAGCTAGAGGTCTTATATATTGTATACTGTAGTTTTATTTTAATGATATGTCAATTATAAATACATTTAGCACTCATTTTAATATTCAATCCCACTTCAGTTTTTGTTCTTGAAGTTTACAGAAATTAATAATCAGTATATAACTTATGTGTTGAAAAGTCACACTAGCTAATGTACGTATAGGTGGTCGTCACATCCGCAACAGCAAAGTCGGTTAAATGATTGCCTAATATATTAATGTCTATATTGTTCGATCCCTGATGTCATTGTTTATGAACCCATCTTTCTATATTTTTGCACGATTTTTGCCCTTCGCAGATTGTGCATGCGCGAGAAAATACTACAGCCGGTCGAGTTTTCATAGCAACGACCGAAACTTGGCAAACTTTTCAACACGGATATAAAGCAAATTAGAAATAATGTTTTGTCTCGATTTTTATTGTGTTTTACAACATTGAAATAACATTTTTTATTTCATTCCGAAAGAATTAAACCATATTATCTAAAAAGAGTATTGACTTTACCAAAATAAGTGCAAAACATATTTTAACAAAATGAACAACATACACAATCACGTGATATAGAAAATAATGATGTTATACAGATGTAATAAACTTTAAGTATATTTAAACTTACATGGTGTAAGAATGATATTTTTTGTCAATCTTTGAATTTTCACAATAATTGATTTTTTGTGAAGAACAGTCTATTCCAAAATATAATCAGTTAAGAAGTCAAAAATGGGACTTGTAAATGCTTAAATGAGTGGATCATGTTCCCGTCCATACGTATATATTTAAGGGTCCTCTTTGAAGTGTTGTTTTTTATTATGTTTCTGAGATGATATTTAAATTTTAATCGGTGTCATTGCCGTTATTTTGAATGCTAGTTTGGGCTACTTTCTGTGTCAACTTCAAAGGCGAATGAAATGCAAGCCATGGACAATAGATTGAGCTCCAGTAACACGTTTTGTATTTAAACATTTTACTGACACTATTTTATTTAATAACGCAATGTTCATGTGGCCAGAGCTGCATCAGTACTAAGGGTGTAGTACTTAAGTACCAGTACCAGTACTTGCCTGATGTGGCTCGATTTTGCAATCGCTTATGAAATATCAAACACGTTATCTTTTTAAATCTTTTTTTTATGACGGTTACATTGTCACTTTCATAGTGCTTCATAAATTTATTCATTGTAATGTTTGATGATAATGTTGTGAAATTTAATAATTCTTTTATTTATCTTTTTATCTAATCATATTTTAATAGACATTTTTAATTTGTGAACATTTACACGGCCTTGTCAAACTATCACGTGAACTTTGTGTATTTGTATCATTAAATTTTGTATCATCCAAAATATTCTGCAAACTAATACCCGTTCCGGCAGCCTTAGTAAAATAATTTTTGAAATTTCAATAAGAATAATGAACCGCGTCACGACAAAACCAACATAGTGCGTTTGCGACCAGCATGGATCCAGACGAGCCTGCGCATCAGCGAATGTCTGATCAGGATCCATGCTTTCGCTTACCAACTCTATAACAAGTAGAGAAACCGATAGCGAACAGCATGCATCCTGATCAGACTACGCGGATGCTGGTCGCAAACGCACTATGTTGGTTTTGTCGTGACACGGCTCAATTAATGTTTAACTGACACAACTTCTTTATAATCTAAAATATTTTATCACATTATGTATACAAATACAATTGTTTTTTTCAAGCCAATTCAATTTTCCTTTTCAATTTATCAATAAATGTGGTTAGTAACAAAAGGCTCTTTTTACATTATATACAATGTTTATGTAACTATAATGGATAAAATCTCTTATTTGTCGTATACATGGTATATAATTAAAAAAGGTTTATAGGGTATGTTGTATGCTTTTTAAATTGTCTTTTGACGTCTTATCTGTGATATGCAGGCTTCATAACCTCAGATCCTTTTTCGAAATTCCATTTTATTTAGTTCCACCCATTGTTTTCTCGTTTAGGGCACACGCATTTTTTTAATTAGGGACCATACGCCGCTTTTCATGGAATGGCACTACTGTGTCACATTGAAGGTTCCATGATAACCGCCGTATGAACACATCTGCGGATGTTACTTAATTCAAAATTTCACCATGTTCATGTTTAAATGTTGAATTCTGCTTAAGCCGGTGCTAGGGGGCTCGGACGGTAAATTTGCACTTTTCAGTACCGTCCATGCACAGGCTCAATCAAACCGAGCCTGCAACATTTACAATTTTGCCGTGTTGGGCTTTCTTTAGGGATTCTGTTTTTCTCTATTATTTGTTATTTAAATTTGCTGTCATTGTTGCTTTTGTTGTTGTTGACAATTATCTATTTGTTAAGTAACTAGGCCAGTAAATTACCTTTAAACCTTTGCCAATTTCTGAATATTAAATGAAAAAAGACCTATTGTAATCAAACACTACAACTTAATAATTAAATGTGTCAGCAGTTTACAATAGCATATCCTTTGAATACCATTTTCATTATCTTTAAATTTAAAATGACCTTTTTTTCTTAAAACCTATTTTTTTGGGTTTTTTTTATTCATTTCAAAATCTCACTTTCTATATTATCCATATAAATTGTTCGATCTAACCTGCAAAATAGCCATATCGTCTGCATAAAACAAAATGATGACACGCAAATCCAATAATGAAATACCAAAATTAGGGTCCAGGGTTAAAAATAAATTTTGGGTATTTTATTGGTCAGAGACCAGAAAAGAATAAATTTTTATTTAAAGCTGTCCGAAATCAACATAAAAACAATAAAAATGGCCGCTCTTTTTAGATAAATATTTTTGTATCATGGCTTGTAAACAGAAAATATTATCAATGGCTGAGAAATTACATCTGAAACCTGTCTGACATTCCTCTATTTAATTATTTTCTTCAGCCCAATTATATAACCTTTTTACGTAACCCTTGGAGTATGATTTATTATTTATTAATGATAAATAATATTTATTCATTACATTTTAAAAGTTATAAATTAGTAATAAGTATTTATTCCTTTTTTACTATTTATAGTTTCGTAATTATTTAAACGTGTAATTTGAACATTTTTCATAGACAAACATAACATCTTCTTAATGCAAAATATCAAAGCCATAGGCCTTTTGATTTCAGAGAAGAAGGTTTTTTTTTAAAGTTTTCCAATACATATATGTTGCGTATGGTCCGGTTATTATCTTACATTTAATTATAGATTTCTGTCAAGTAAAAATCATGTTTAAACCAATATTTAGTAAGTAAATTAGTGCAATTTCTTATAAATTCTATACCACAGTTTGGGTTCTGTTATTTATTTGATACATATAGAAACAGACAGAGACAACTAAAAAATATATATATATTGATGACATCATCTTTGCACTAATTCAATGGTTGAATAAGTCATACCAGAAACATGTTTGTGTTTTACACTCATGACATATCATTTCTTTTATTTTTAAAAAGAAAAAAACTTCTGAGTGTAAATAATTTCATCAAATCTTGATGTCAGCAATTGATAATTTATATGAAATTCACAAAAAATGATATAGATTTTATTGTTCGAGGCATTTCAAATATATCTATATCGTAAGGTAAAGTTATGACTAAACCTCTAGCATAACTACTATAAAAAATACAAAAAGCACCTCCCCAAAAAGTTTATCATTTAGGGTGAGTGCACTCTTGTCATATTTAAAATATGCTCATCTTTGAGTAATATTTCATCAATGAAATTTGTTTTAATTTATGTATATCTTACTGACGATGTCTGATTTTAATAAAAGAATATACAAACTATGTATGGGAAACTGCTTCTTACAGGTCAAGTAAAGGTGGTCTTTTGTTTTTTAACAAACACCAGTTTTTTCATAACAAATTATATTCATATTGTGACCACGAATTATGTGCAAAATTTTAAAACAGAACATATCTACTCTGTTTGAAGTCATTTTTATTTTATATTTACAAAAGTGATTATCATTATTTTTTAACATCAAATTTGAATTAGCAAAACTTGTCCAACTCCTTTTGCATGTAAAAACATTGGACTTATGTTATTAACGCAGTTTATGTAATAATAAAGTGTGCGTAATTTTAAATAGAGTATAGCTATTTTAGGCTGTGCTATTTTAGGCTGTAAATGATAAGTAACTATTTGCAAATAGCTTTATAAAAGTAATTCTTAAACACAAACACCTTTGTTGAAGTAATATTGTTTGTGAATTTATTATTACTTATTACGAGTGTAGCCCATGTGATAAATCATTTCAAATCTGTTGTCATAGCATCTGAATATTTTGCTTAAAAAACTTTCTTCTTTTCTGTGTCCCTTAAAAATCATGCGCGGTAAATGACAGGGACATTTCAAATTTTTGTCCATATTTTATCATAAGTATATAAAATGTAATTATTTGTACTGTTGTTTTTTTTTCAACATTTCATATCATGTTTCACCATTTACAGCGTTACACACATTAAACTTAATATTGCCAAACACAATCGGTCACCTAGCGAGATATTTGATATTTCAACAACGTGTTTCACATATTGATATGAAACTAACATACATTTTCTGTACAACGTGAGAGACATGTGATTATAAATAAGCAAGAAAAACTCATTACTTTGTAGACACAAAGAACGTAACGTATCAATAAAATGTCACTGTATTGAGTAACTTTACCACTCCCGTTCACTCTTGCTAACACTATTCACTTTATCCGACAATTTGTCTCCATATCTTTGGAGCCAATACAGTGCTTTTTAATATGTCGTTTTTCTAACAATTCTACATTTATAAAAAGTACAAGTTTGCTTCTTTAAAAAGGAGCATGCGAGAGGTCTTTTTGAAGCTGTTGAAGATTTGTTAATGAGATATAAAAGACACCAGAGATTTTCCAAAACGGGCATAAAGTATGTTTATCAAACAATCCCAGATTTACATTTATAATGTATATATCATTTGACTGGAAAAAACAATATATACTGCTGCATGCCTCCAACTACAATATGGCAAGAAAATCAAACTTGAGAAAAAGTTGTGCCATTTTCGCCATTTGCGCCAAAAAATCTCCGTTACGTATTTTAGTCATACCAGTTTAAAAGTGAAAGTAGCAGCAAATTTTCGGTACACCGTTCACTCGGTCATATGATAGTGCTATAATGTTCACTGTTCCTTATTTTCGGAACATGAAATAGTAAAATGCTAGTCATAAAACAAGTATCGATTTATACAGTTTAAAGGATTAAAAATGGTATGAACCAGTGCTCGTAGTGTTAAGTAACGTAAATGATATTTTCCGATTTTTCCTTGTACCGATTTGTTCACTTCGATGTTTATTTTTCGTTTAAGTTAAGTCGTATTTTGAGGCGGAGCATGCGCATAACATTTTTTGTAGACTGATTCTACTGTTTTAAGGCATAAAATGCGATGCATTAGCTTCAATTTGATACGCAAAAAATGGATGCCGCCAGCGATCATTCTCAACACTGTGGAGAGGTCTGATGACCTCTCAAATAAACGCTGACAACGAATTGTTACACTTGACCAGAGCTGTTAAGTCAATTGTTATATGGAAACGTTTCCAAACGGATTCAGAATCCCAAACAACACAAGTGTGTGGTTAATCAACGATGTTGTACACTAATAGTTTTGCACGACATAATTTTTGTATGTGCACTCTTGTGGTGTTTTTAGTTTCTCTTATTCGATCTCTTTTTTTAGGATCGTTCCAGTATTCCTTCTTAAATACTGTATAATCATCCTTAAGACATCCTGACTGCCTTTTAAATGTGTCTTTTGACATTTTGTCGGTGATATACAGGCTTCATTTCCGCTTACCCCTTTAAAATTTCATTTATTTTGTTATGCCCATTGTTTTCTCGTTTAGGGTACAGTTTACTTGGGAACCATACATAGCTTTTCATCTATATTTATAGTTCCATGGTAATCTACGGATGTTTATAAATTAAAAAAGCACATTTTTCATGTTTAAATGTTGAATTCTGCTTAAGCCTGTACTAGGATTTTAAACAGTAGCTTGCATTTGACAGTACCGTCTATTTACAATAAAACTGATCCTGCAACATGTTTTTCCTCCTGTTTTGGGCGTTCAAAAGGATTCCATTTCTTGCAATATTTACAATATTGACATTTTGGGCTATCTTTAGGGATTACATTTTTACTCTTTTGATCAAAGCAATTAGCACAATGCATTTTATGTGTGTATGTTTTTTATGAGTTTGGGACACTTTATCATGCTTAAATCAATAGGTACTGTTCTGAGTTTTAATTTCTTTTTCAAGAGTATTTGGAAGTTCGTCCCAGATGAAAACAGCAATAAATTTAATCAATAAAAACGCTAATTTAGGAAAATATACTACAAACTTGAATGTTACTCATCGATGGCACTTACACAAACTTTAAGGAATAACAATAGTCGAAACAGACAAAACTTACTGTTTCAATGTCAATGTTAAAACAATTTTGAGTCGAAAGCAAAATGAAAGATCTGTCAGAAAATATTTGAAAGATATAAAATTTTAACTCTATACAAACCACTGTACTGGTTTCCTGGCAGTTTCCGGTCTCTAGCAGTTTTCGGCCTCTAGGAGTTTCGGTCCTTTTTCATTTTGGTGCTGTACTGTCTGTTTTTAACAGTAAAGCCCCTCTGTTACTTAATCAATTAAAAGAAAGTTTGATGTCTAAGCAACACGGTTCAAAAATTAGAACAGCAGTTTATATATTTGGAAGAATTTTTTCGGCTGTTCAAAGCTACCATAGGGAACTTGCTTAATAAAAAAATAAGCAATACCTAAAGGAATCATGTTAAATTCCAAGTGCAAAAATAAGTGTCCGAATTATTGGACAATGTTACTTTTTGTTACTTTACTTGCAGACTACTCGAGGACATGTCAATAGTAATTGTATATTTAGATAGCATTGAAAATGTAAAGGTTCGGTAAACTGCTATGCAATTTGTTAAAAAAAAAAGAAAAGGAGTCTTTTTTTCTTGCTCTAATTCATTTTAAAAATAAAGTTTAAAAGCAAAAAGAAGAAAATTAGGTACCTAACTCTGTTCTATCGAAATTTTGTACCCATCGACAGATTGCTTCTTATTTTATTTCTGAAAAAAAGCGTTATTTAGGACCGGCCACTGTTAGGAAATCGGTATCATAATATAAATGAAATGTCCGCCTTATATTGTAAAACTTTTAACGTCAAATCCAGGCACGTAAAGCACCGGGGAAGTTGCATTATATACGATTTCACTATGACAATCTCCTCCAAATTTGTTGACGTTGGAATCTGTCATTAATCTGTCATTGAGGTTTCTGCCATTTTAATAAGTGCCTTGACTGACACAAGAAAATTAATTGCAAGCATGATGTATGACCCTAATAATCTGAAAAGTTAGATATAACTCTATATTTTATGAAACAAATCATAAGTCGTTTGTAATGATATAGGTTTCTTTCTATTTTATCTGTAGTTTTGTTAATAAACATAAAGTTTTAATGCTATAAATCTACAATTTTGAAAGAATGCTTGATTAGAAAAGGTTAGCGGCATATATGACAACTAATGGTTTTATCGAATAATTCAATATAATTTTGGTTAAGACCAGATACATAAAAAAGAAAATTATCTAAAGTGATTTGTTTACTTGAGCTGACACATTTTTTCTTAACTTAGGTTGTTAACATTGTATTGTTACCAATTATACAAATATAATTTTTGATATTTTTGTGAAATATTCTGGTTAATTGTGCCACAAGTCATCGCTAATCATTTTGGGCGGCACATACTGCCTCGGTAATAAATAAATATGTGCTCCATAGAGAGGGTAAGCATGTGTATTATGTTTTATGTTTGATAATGGATTTAGATAATTTCAGATGCCTCTATCCTGGAAAAAAAATTGTTGAATATAATTACATCAGTCTTAAAAGGAGTCAAACGTAAATAAAGTGATATTTTTGTCTTCCACTCATTATAAATGTTTTACATATGGATGAAAGGCAAAATGAGTAAACTATGATTTGACTATGTCGCTAATGAGAACCGAAATGAGAAAGTACACAGAACAAAAAAATGATAACATTTTGGCATTTGAATGTTAGTGCGAACTTTCAACAATTGTAATGTCTGTCTGTCCCTTTGTCTGTCTGTTTTAGTTTGTTTGCTTGTCTTTGTTTGGTTGGTTGATAAGTTGGTTTTACTATTCTTAACCATATTGTGGCAGTCGCCAGTCCACCTTACAGATTTCCCTTGCTAATTGACCAATACTCATCATTTTCTTCGCAAGATATCGACTATCAGTTCGATCTGTTGTGATTTATAAATCAGCAGTGAGAGACAAATGAACTGTCGAACCGAGATCAAATGTAATGTAGAATAATGGAGTTTTCATTTTATAACATAGGAAACATGTGAGAATATTAAAGTAAGTTTATGACATCATTAATTACATAATATCTCTACTGCTGATATTCCATAACACCTTATTGGATAATAACTTCACATATTCATAGACAAACTCTGTCCATTGGACCATCTATCTAATATAAATGGCGCCAAAAAAGAATATCGTTATCACAGGTCCAGCTTTTGTAAACACGAACAATATCTTATGCCCCCCCCCCCCCCCTCCTCAAAGAAAGAGACTAAACTCTCTACTTTAAAATGATTGGCTTGTCTTAATAAGTATAAAAAATTACTGCATGATTAACGTAACAGATCAGAAGTAAATAAAAACGACCTTCTGTGAATTACCTTGTGGGACGGAGATATACCGGTATCACGGCCATATTTTCTTCTTGTCGTTCGTAGGATACCCACTTGGCACAAGACCCAACACCCCATGTTTGACAGCCAGCAGCGCCCCTTCATTATATTTAAGTTTACATTTGTATTTCTCTGTTATTCTGAACTTTGTATCCGAATTTGTTTCTTTTCTCACAATCATTTCAAAGCGTAACTGAAATAGATTTTTATGGTACTGATATTTTCTTCAAAAAGAATATGGTCGGGGAGGTATGCATATTTTGAAATAAAAGATTCTCAAAATGCTTTCATAGTAGAACGAGTATCATTAACTTTAGCTACAAATGTATCCGCCTTTCTATAGCATGCATTTTTCTATGCTTTTCTTTAAAGACTTTTCTTTAAAAACAATGTTAATGGATGATTCTATATGAAAGTGATTATTTTTGCCATACAAAGATGAATAGTTTTTATTTCTTGTAACTATATTGTCAATTTATTTGACGACTTTATAAGGTCAAAATAACATAACAAATGGGCAGCTAAAAGTAAAACTACACGCATGTGAAAACCATACGAGAATGTGTGATGTCAAAGACAAATTTAAATTGTGAATAACAACATTGTGGTCAATATGATATAATTAAACATCAGCATCTAGACACACAGGAGACGTAAACGAAACTTACAGTATATAAAAACATGATTTTACTGATCTTTTGTTTTAGTTTTACTAAATATACCAGTTGATAATA